CTACTTAATATATATTAAGTGCCAATTTTCTAATGGAACTCTGCAAGGTGCTCTGAGAACACAGATTGAAAGGAAAAGACAGAATGCCACAGTGTTTGGGAGTTTTCATGTATCTAGACAATAAGTAGCCCAAACATTATCCTTTGCATTATTATACTCCCATATTACAGAAGTCTGAAATGATATAGAGAGCACGTAACCTAATGGAGGTGACAGGTGCACAGAGAAATTTAACATTGCGTGTTTTTTCTCATCTGGCAACCTACTCAGGCAAGATGGAATAACAGATAAACAGCACTCAGACCATCGTGGGCTTCAGTAACACTTCACTCGCCATTGATGCCATATCTGTGTCTTAGGAGAGACTTTATGTAAGCAGCGAAGGATTGGAACAGTTTCAGAGGACAGCAGTCATGTCAGCGAAATGGATATGGCATGGGTGTAGACAATAAATAATTGTCCCATAGGAGAGGAGGGTAGAGTGGTTGTAAATGAGGCTGGAAAAGTGACTATTGCTTGTGTTTGCTGAATTTACACTGGTGGGGGGGGGGAGGGAGAGAGAGAGAGACAGACAGAGAGAGAGACAGAGAGAGAATGAACGAGGCTTTGCTGTGGCAAAGCTTCCTAATATTGGTTCCTTAACCTGACACAAATTGTTTTGATCACATAAAGTCTGCTTTTTAAAAAAGCATGCCCCACTGCTTGGAGCTGGGGTGAGTGATGCAGGCAACTCTCCTTGCTGCTTTCTTTGATGTGTCTTTTGTGACAATTACCACAAGATGAGGCACCATGGTCTCTCGCCTGGCTTCCATATCTCTTATGAAAGAGGCTTGATGTGTGAGTAGCTGTTCACACTGGTGTCTGTGGCACGTGGTTGCAGGAGACTATTAGTCGGCAGCACTTTGCTTCCAATCCTCAGTTTTCTTAGTTTTATTTGGAAGAATCTACTCTGAAAGAGTCGCAATCAGAATTGTCAATTAAGCTCTTAAAGAAGCGCTAGATTTGTAAATGTTTTACAGATTGTATGTGCCACACTTTTTATAATGAGGACATAAATAATAACTTATCCTTATCTCAAAAGTATCCTGTTATTTTATCACTTAAGTTGATACTATTTGCATAGATTTTTTAACCATCTCTTCAACAATATGTAATCCATATAATATCTTAAAGTTTTCTACTTTCAAGTACTTTAATGTTAGTCCCATTGTAACTGAGCCAAACACATTTTTCTTTTCCTTTTCATATTCTGATGACTACTGAGACTAAGGCTAACTAGCCTGTTTCAAACAGATAAATAATGCCTGCTTCTGAGTTCCAGATAGTAGCCTTGAGAAAGCCAGCCTAAGGTGAAAAAGTAGTTGGCCCTTCTTGGCCAGCATGACTGGAGGTTTGATTTTATTGTAACTGAAGGAACAGGGCACCAAATAACTAAGGGTACAGCATGCATGCACTATACGACGAGTGGGCTTCATCGCCATTAACAAACCACTGAAATCTCTTAACACGATGATGCCTCTGCCAAATGATGCTTTGCTGTTGCTTAGTCTTGCAGAACTCCCTGCAGTCTCTCTTCATGGTACAGTCAAGTCATCAGCACGTTTCTCCATGAACTGCACTGACCTCCGAGACACTCTTTTGTCATACCTGCAATTGGCTGCAGCATGTGGCTCAGCAGCCCAACATCCCATTTGCACTCCTTAAAGCCCCCATTCCATCCTCACTGAGTAGGGCAGTAGCTCTGAGACTCTCAAAGTCTGATGACATCCTCATCGATTGATAGATTAAACTTTCTCTCTCTTTTGTCCTCAAACCTTGTCCTTGTTATTTTTGATGTTCACAAGATTCCTCTTCCACTTCTCTTGTAAACGCCTGCAGAAAGCAAAGCTCTGGCTGTGTGGAGAAGCCAGGAGAAGGAATTTAGTGTCATTGCTTGGCGCTCAGAGTTGGACCTCCAGTGACCAGACCTGATAAAGCCCAAGGCTTCACGCCCGCCTGCTGCTCACAGATTGAGTAAAGAACAATCAACAGAATGAAGAGACAGTCTTCAGAAGGGGAAAAAGTATTTGCAAGTTATATATCTGATAGGGGGTTAATATCCAGAATATATGAGGAACTCAAATAACTCAATAGCAAAAAGCCAGATAATCCCAATTTTTTTAAAAAGTAGTAGGTCTAAACAGACATTGCTCAAAGGAAGACAGACAAATGGTGACCAGGTAAATGAAAAACTACTCAACATCACTAACCATCAGGAGATGTCAAACCACAAGGAGATGTCACCTTATTGCAGTGAGACTGGCTAGTATAAATAAAAGGCAACAAATGTTGACAAACATGGAGAAAAAAGAAGACTTGTACACTCTTGGTAGAAATGTAAGTTAGTTCAGCATTTCTGGAAAACAGTGTGGAGGTTCCTCATAAAACCAAAAATAGAACTTCCATCCATATAATCCAACAGTCCAATTCCTGGATATGTAATAAAAGGAAATGAAATCCATCTGCCCAAGGGACATCTGCACGCCCATATTTATTGCAACACTAGTCAGAATAGCCAAGAAATGAAGCAATCTAAGTTTCCACCAACCAATACATGGATAAAGAAATGTCCTGCATATACAAAATGCAACATTATTCAACCATAGAAAGGATGGCATCTTGTCATTCACAACAACATGGATGGAAATGAAGTCATCATGTCAAATGCCATCAGCCAAGCCCACGAGACAACACGTGACCTCACTCATGTGTGAAGTCTAAAAACTGGTACCCACAAAGTAGTTAAAAAAATGGTGGTTACCAAAGATTGGGGATGAAGGGATTGAGAAAGGTTGATTGATAAACTCCAGGTAATAGCTACATAGTAGTAAGAAGTTCTTGGGTTCTACTGCACAGCTAAGTGATTGTAGATAATATACCATGTAGTTCTCTGTTTAAAAGAACCTAGGAAATGGGATTTTGGAGGCTTTCTCTATGAAGAAATGTTAAATCCTTGAGAAGATAGATATATGTATTCTGATTGAATATTATACAATGTATACATGTAGGAAAATATATCAGATTCCATAAATATGCATATTTTTATGTTTTTAAATTAAAAAATATTAAATAGATAATAAATAGACCACAAACACTAACAAAATAGCAAATGAAACTAAGAAACCATAAAAGAACTCCAAGAGAGACTTGGCATAACTAAATAAGGGGCAATTTATGTGAAAATTTTTATTACAATCATGTGATTAATGACTTAGCAAAATAAGGGCAAGAAAATAAATTTTATGAAATAAATATGTATGTGTAGATTTTATTACTCATCCAAAGATTATCATCACATTAATAGAATATTCATATTTACATTAATAATAAAATTAGGTCAGGAGGTTTTAAAGAGTAACAGAATCCTGCTATTTATAAAATTATTACTTTGGAGGACTGGCCTATGCCTCTGTATGAAAATTCTTAAGACTATATGTATGCTTTTGTGAATCATATTATAATTTTCAAATAAAACTGTATTTTCTCAGGAATTCAAATGATGAGATTTTTACTTATTTAAATGAAGCAGCCTATAATCATGAAAGTAGCAAAAATCCCATAATAGTAAAAGTCATGTAAACTGAAATTATATTGTTAAGGTTTTGTTTTACTAAATTAATGTCTATTTAAGTTTATACATCTGTGAGTTGAAATCTCTGTTAATCTGCCCATTATTGGTTGGGGAAATAAAAATAAAAATTGTTATACATACATCCCCCTACATCTTTTGAGTCAGATTTTGGACATATTTCTGTTTGCTTTTTAGGATTTGTTTTGTTGGACAGTTTATTTTAGTTTAGATTTGTTTGATTTTTTTCCTTTGCTTGCTTCATTCCCATTGGAATAAACAATGGGAATTGAATGGGATAGCTACTTTATGACAGAATCAAAATGTTTCAAAATTCTTCATTCAATTCTCAATCTAATTTAAGTGGTATTTGTTGATTCCCAGAAGGAATGCAAGTAAAAGATTTTGTGGGCCGGCGCTGCGGCTCAATAGGCTAATCCTTCACCTAGCGGCGCCGGCACACTGGGTTCTAGTCCCGGTTGGGGCACTGGATTCTGTCCCTGTTGCCCCCTTCCAGGCCAGCTCTCTGCTGTGGCCCAGGAGTGCAGTGGAGGATGGCTCAAGTGCTTGGGCCCTGCACCCACATGGGAGAGCAGGAGAAGCACCTGGCTCCTGCCATCGGATCAGCGCGGTGCGCCGGCCGTAGTGCACCAGCCACAGCGGCCATTGGAGGGTGAACCAACGGCAAAGGAAGATCTTTCTCTGTCTCTCTCTCGATGTCCACTCTGCCTGTCCAAAGAAAAAAAGATTTTGTGGTTGGCAGATGGGCTTTAAATCACTGTAACCTGCATTTCAAAGGGCATTTGGGTTACTGTTAACACCATGCCAAACATGGAGGAGGGTCTTAGTAAATGTTAGTGGTCCCAGACCCTCTACCCTAGCAATGTTGGATTTAAAAAAAAAAAAAAAAAAGCACATTCCTCAAAGGGTAAATTAAAAGGACAGCTGTTTCAAGATATGGACTTGATAATGGAGGTTAAAGAAGGTTGTAATTAAATGCATTATATATCATCCTGAAGTTATGTTTTCCCTCTTCAAAAACTGTAACATATTTTATTCTTAAAATTCATCAAAGGATTGGCATTGTGTGCAGTGCAATGTGGTTGGAGTGCCCACACCCCATATTAGGAGGCCTGGGTTTGAGATCTGGCTCTGCTTCTGATCTAGCTTCCTGCCAGTGTGCACCCTGGGAGGTAGCAGGTGATGATGGCCCAAGTAGTTGAGCCCCTGCCACATGTTAGAGACCCAGATGGGGTTCTAGGCTCCTGGCTTTGGCCTGGTCCAGCCCTAATTGTTGTAGGCACCTGGGGAGTGAACAGCAGATGGAAATCTCTGTCCTGGTTCTTTCTTTCTCTCTCCCTCTGCCTTTCAAATAAATAAGAGTCATTAAAAAGTCTTTAAAAAGTAGGAAACACCATCAAGCAATGAGTGGTGTCTACATTATTAATGTCAACTGGTTATAAACTTAAGTGATTGAAGTTTCTAGTTTGCTGTCGTCTTTCTAACCTTGGTTGTGACTTCCTCGAATCTAGGAGCTCCTTTTGATGTCTGAATCTTTGCCACAATGTGGAGACGCAAGTAATGCTCCAGAGATCTTGGAGGAGGAGAAGGTGGAAGAGGAGGAGGAAGGGAGGTCAACAAAAGGCTTACTGTGACTTATTTACCATTTTAGGTGCTGTAATGGGTTTCCTGACCATCATAGATCTGGTTTAGGATAATTTTAAATAGGCATTTGTCCTTGCAATTATGAATATCTCAGGATACCTGTGAGGTTAGCTTCTATTCTGAGCTATGAGAGTGAGGCAGAGTTCAGCTGTATTTTAATGGTACTGTATGCTAAAAAGATGCTTAGGAAATAATGAAGGCAGAGAGCTTTTAGTCTAATCACGAATGGCCCTTAGTTAGAAACCTACCCAACCACAGCAGGTTAACATTAGGTAGATGGAACAGAGACATCAAAGACAGAGCTTGACCTCATTAGAGAACAAAGGCAAGAGGAAATGATGTCAGCAGCAAGCGGTGGGATGCAGGATGACAAAGCACATGGAAATGAAGCTGGAGGGAAGAATGAGAATAGGGCACACGGGAAAGGCCCCTAAGCTCAGAGGCTGAAGACTGTGCCCTGATTTCAGCTGTCTCCCAGATGTGTTGATTTAGGTGGCATGCTAAGGGTTTTCACCAAATAGCCAATATAGTCAAAAAACGTTGAACCAGGGAAAATTCAGGGTTTAATAATGCTACTGAACGGAATTTGTTTCTTTCTCTAGGTGCATGGGCTGAATCAGTTTTAACCCTCTCATATCTTTGAGCTAGGGAATATAATGAGCCTGTAATATTTTTAATGTTTTGGAAGGCTCTCATGGGGAAGTAAGTTCCTATTTCCCCCCAAACACAGGATAAACTGCCATGCCCGTGTTCTCCTGCGAGTTGTTCCTCTTGTCTGTCTTCCCTCCAAGTCTCAGCTCAGATGTCACTCCTAGTCTGAATCCTCTTTGGATCTGCTCAGGGAAGTTGAATATCCCATTCTTGTTGAAACGAATGTACCTGTCTGTGTTACAGACCTTTTATCTTAGCCGTGCAGTCAGTAATTTATGAGTTTTTTCTTCTTATGAGGCTCAGTACAGAATCCTGTGTTGTTTTCGCTCTGACTTAGGTACGTAAATAAGCCCAGGGCCTAAGAAATGCATCCGAAACATGAGAGTGAGAAAGCCAAGCTCTTGAGTGCAAAGGAGCCTCACAAAAGTCAGATCTGCAGGAGAAATGACCTTATTTTGTTCACTCAGTTGTCTGCTGATTGCACTGGTAAGTCCTGAGGCTGGGATTTAACCCCTTTAGAATCCCTCTCTCCTTCTTGCCAGGATCTGGGGGGAGGGAACCTTCACGTAAGCTCAGAATTTTGAAACTTGTGGTGAGAGAAGTGAGCGGACAGAATCGGTGTCTTCATTGCGTCTTGGCTCATTTTCGGCTGATATAACATAATAGCTGAGATTAAGCAATCTATGAAGAATGAAAGTTTGTTTGGCTCTTGGTTCCTCAAGGCTGGGAGGCCCCAGAGCAAGCACTGGCATTTGTTTGGTATTGGTGAGGTTGTGTTATATAACACGGAATTTTGTGCTGCTGCACTTTTCTGTGACTCGGAATGCACTAGGCTTGTGGATACCTGCATCACAAACACCTCTGTTGCCTTGGTTGTGCCATGACACCATGACATCAGCAGGGAGTGGGAACTTCTCAGCTCCACTGTGATCTGACAGGACTGCCGTAGTATATATAGTGTATGTATTTGTTCACTAACTGAAAATTGTCCTGTGGCACATGGCTCTATTTTAGTTATATTCTGAAGAAATGTAGAAAATGTGTTTCTCACTCTATAGCAGAAGATATTATGGGCTACAACTGGGCTAAAATAAATCAATTTATGGATAGGTAATTGAGGAATGTGGGCAGGCATGCAAATGATCAAAGAAGTTAGTACAAGCCCTGTTTCATTTCTGTGGTAAGAATTTATGGTGTTATTAGTATGTTACCCTCAGCAGCTACAGACTTCCAGAGCTATGCTTTTTTATGGATTAGTTCATCCTTGATCAATCGTACTGTGCTGTGTATGCCTGTTTGTGTATGCCTGTGCAGCCTCCAGTGTTGTGGCACCGTAGAAGTAGCATCAAAACCTTTATCATTTACTAGTTGTATGATTTGAACAAATCAACATTTCTGAAGCTCTTGTGAAAAATGCATGCAGTGGAACTCTTAAAAATTCATATTATTTGTGAGAGGTTCAAATGATATCACTGGTTTTTCTACCAAATGCAGTATTGAGACGTACCAAACCCAATGAGAGTTTACAGTCTTGGAACAGTCAGCTGTTGGAGATTTGTATGATTGTTGTCTCCCACAACTTGCTAGAACATTGAAATCGGGGACATTGATATTGCTTGTCCATCTTATTGTTCCTCTAGCCAGTCACTCATGTTAGCAATCTGTTTTATACCTTTGGGTGGTAATATCCTGGAAGTTAGGACTGTCACTCTTGTCTCTTTCAAATAAACAATTAGCACTATCAAGAACAGATAAAGAATGTGCTGGTTTTGAACACATCAACAGAATTATTGACAGAAAAATCTTTATTTCTCAGAGAGTAGTGTATTTCAGTTTGTAGAGTGAATGTAAGAATAACCAGAATATTTATATTTTAATATAAATTTATATTTATATTCTACATTTCATATAGAGCAAATCACATATAAATTAATAAATTATATAATGTATTATGTATAATAAATATATACATATATTTCTAATAATAAGCATATTCATATTTCTAAGCCTTATACTACAATATTTTGTTGCCTTCTTCCGATTACAAATAACTTATGGAAATTATTATTTCTCACCCTTGCACTTGTTTCTCAGCCCAGAATTCTCTTCTTCTCATAGATTCCTGGTGGATGAAAGTTTACTCACCCACGAGCCCTGTCAGTAATGGAACACCCCTCTTCACCCCGCAGCTGAGGTGAGTGCTCTCCATGAATCTCTGTGTCTCTACGCATGGGGATTTCTTTTACCTCTATCAGTAGCTCTCGTTTAATTTTGTGTTATGTGCACTTGTAAACATGGCCTCCTCGCTGGTAGATAAACTCTTTTACAACTTCTTGCTGGCATTCTACATGAATTAGTTCTTCTCTCTCACAAATTAGGGAACTGAAGTGAATAGATGTCACAGTCCTAATAGATGCCACAGCTGGGGAATGCAGACAGGGAGGTTCAAAGATCGGACTGATAGTCCTCTTAACATGTCTCTATGCACACGTCTTCTGTATGTAGACGATAATCCCTCAGAAGGCAAAACGAAGCCTTCCCGCTTATTCCTTAAGACTTTGAGCATATGTATTTTTGAATGACTGAGTAGAAATATATTTGCAAACCCTGGCAGCAAAGATCTATAACTTTTAATCTGTAGAGGATATCTAAATATAGCAAATCACAATGGATGATTACAGGAAAAGAACATATGAGATTTTCAAAAGAATTACAATGCAAAAACCAGTAGAAGCATGTTCAATCTCATAATAAGTTAACAACAAAAAATATTGCTCTTACACTGTTAACTTGGAAGGACTGTTAAACAAAAACCAACGATGTTGAGGCTGGTTTGGAAGAATCTGAGCCCCCTAGATGCTAAGCAGTGCTAAAATTGAAGCACGGTTTCAGGAGCAAATGTCTATTCCAAGGCACCAACCGTAAAGCACGGCATGAGGATGCAGATGAGTATGTCACTGTGAAATGCTTGACAAAACCTTGCAAAGACCAAGCATTGTGCTCGAAAGATCTCTCCATCAGACAAAGGACCCTCTAAGGACGTTAAACGTGCCTTGCCGTCCTCTAAAGCAAGTCCTGAGCTTCCAGAAAACTTAAGAGGATTGTCAGGATGTTCAGCATGAGCCCACAGCCTCATCTTTTCATGGAATTTGGGTGAAATGTTGCAAGATTTATTGAATTTGTCTCTAGTAAGTGTGGTGGTAGTCAAGTTGTTAGATTTTTCAGACTTCTAGGCAGCACTGGAATCAATTTCTTTCTCTTTTAGAGATTCCAAGCAGAGAGAGGACAGAACCTAAAGAAATGAGCCTCTTGGCTCTTTTCCTGTAATGGCCTTCACATCTCTTTATTTTTTCTCCTAGAACATACACAAGCTGTATTGCTCCTGTTCAAAAGCCCCTTAAAAATTGATGTCAACAGACTGATACCATCACTTTCACTCATGTTGTCATCTATCCAATTATTAGATGCAACTGGCTGACAGAATGCAGTTTTTGCATCAACTGAGAGAAATGCCTTATGTTTTTAGGGTGTTGTCCTAGATGATGTAGTGTGGACACTGAAAAATCAATGAAGAAATAATTGTTTCCCCCATAGTCAGGGCACTGGATTGGGGAACCCCAGACAAGAAGGGAGCGACAGCATCTGTCACTACATCTACCAGCCCATATGTAAAATGTATTCTGTCACCATAAATTTGAGTTCCACTTGGTCAGAAGTTTTAGGATCCTTAGGAGAGATGAGCCATCACAGGGTATAATATTATTTCCACTGAGACAGTCAGTTTGTCATTTCAAGCATCTCATTCCATTGAACCAACAGGCCCCCAAATATCCTGCATCAGATGACCTCATTAATCCCAACTAGGATAGGGGAATGAGTCTGCTACTTGCAATGTGGGATAGGAGGAAAACATTAGGAGCTGGGAGAATCAGATGGGGAAGTTCATTCTGATGCCATGCACATGGGCAAAAATCCATGAAAGACCCCAGCAGACCTCTACAGGCAAGAGAATTAGAGGCTCAGACCCTGTGGATTTCAGGTTCCCTTGTACATTCCCTAGAAAGGGCCCAACCCCCTGGAGTGCTGACCAAGGCAATGGGCCCACAGAAATGATGCAGGGAGAAGACATCTTAAATGGTAATTATGAACTTTAGATAGATCACAGAAGCAAAGACTCTATTAACTACTCCTTGCATTCTCTCTTTTATAGCATCAATAAAAATTGCTGATAGGAGCTAGCCATTTAAGATTAGTCTTTATCAGATACTATTGGGACTGACAGAAAAGGAAAGAATTTCATTCCAGGTGTGTACAATGATCAGAGAAACTGTGGACTTCTATTTTAAGGGAGTAGAAGGTGTAGACAGAGATTACACTGTTTGGAAGTGCAGATGTCAGTGGAAGTGAATCGTAGGTGTGGAAGAGCCAAGTGACTGGATTGTGTGTAAGAGTAGAGGCGCCCTCAAAGACGCTAAGCAAACGGTTACATTTCCTAGTCTCTCTCACAGACGGGGTTTTGCACGTGGATAGAATTTCCAGTTGGACGTTGCCTGAGATACAGGAGGTAGAAGTAGGTAGACGCTATACTCCTGGTTGTTTGGGACAGCCACGTCAGGACATGACATAATTCCTGGGGGAGTAGTCAAGGGCCACCTCTCCAGCATTTTCATGCATTTTATCAGGTCCAGCAATGACTTTCTACTTAAAATAGTTGCAGTGGTGTCTTTGCTGTAACTCATCCCCGGCACAACTGCCAATGAAGGAATAGTAGAAGCATTTGCTTTTAAATGGGACATGAGACGAACCTGACCAGCTACTTCCATTTCAGTAAACATGGAGTAAGACAAGGAAAAGACATAAAACTGACAGGGAGTGGAGAAGAAAAATCTATCATTATTTAAAACTTTCTATGTATTTATTTGAGAGAGAAAACACACACACATTCTCATCTGCTGTTCATTTTCCAAATGCCCACATGGCTAGTCTGAAGCCAGGAGCCAGGGTCATAATTTGGGCCTCTTATTGGGGGGTCAGGAACTCAGTTACCTGAGTCATCACCATTGCCTGCCAGGGTCTACATTTAGCAAGAGGCTGAGATCAGGAGCTGGAGCCGGAAATCAAACACAAGTGACTCAGATATGGGATGTGGAAATCTTAGCTTATTTTAATCACTAGGATGAGTGACTGCACTACAGCTATAATTATTTTAAAAATGTTACTGTACATATACAGAAAAAAACAAGCACATTTACTTAGAATTTATAATATAGTTGTCAATTCTGAATCACTGTGTGAAAATCAGTTTTATTCCATTCACCTATAAACTCTGAATATATAACTTAAAAAAGGTAACATTTGTTTGCAGCTAGAAAATACAAAAATAGGAATTTTAAAGTTAAGGAATATAGGGAGCAAAAATTTTTGAAAAAACTTTCAAAACCAAGATAGATTATGAGGGAAGTTATAAATCTTATGGACAAAATTAATGAAGGCACAAATAAATGACAGGATATATGAAGATCAGTGTAAGTAGGACGAATATGGTAAAGATGTTGATTTCCCCAAATTAATTCATAAATTTTTTTTTTTTTTTTTTTTTTTTTTTTTGACAGGCAGAGTGGACAGTGAGAGAGAGAGACAGATAGAAAGGTCTTCCTTTGCCGTTGGTTCACCCTCCAATGGCTGCCGCGGCTGGTGCGCTGTGACTGGCGCCCCACGCTGATCTGAAGCCAGGAGCCAGGTACTTATCCTGGTCTCCCATGGGGTGCAGGGCCCAAGGACTTGGGCCATCCTCCACTGCACTCCTGGGCCACAGCAGAGAGCTGGCCTGGAAGAGGGGCAAGCGGGACAGAATCCGGCGCCCCGACCGGGACTAGAACCCCGTGTGTCGGCGCCGCAAGGTGGAGGATTAGCCTAGTGAGCCGCAGCACCGGCCAATTCATAAATTCTTATCATCTCAATGTAAAGCTCAACTATGTGTTCCATGAAATTTTTTTTAAAGATTTATTTCATTTAGTTTAAATAGTTAGAGAGAGAGGTAGAGACAGAGAGAGAGGTCTTCTATCTGCTGTTTCACTCACCAAATGGCTGCAATGGCCGGAGCAGCGCCAATCCGAAGCCAGGAGCCAGGAGCCTCCTTCAGGTCTCCCACGCAGGTGCAGGGGCTCAATGACTTGGGCCATCTTCTACTGCATTCCCAGGCAATAGCAGAGAGCTGGATCAGAAGAGGAGCAGCCAGTACTAGAACCGGCACCCATATGGGATGCCAGCGCTTCAGGCCAGGGCTTTAACTCACTGTGCCACAGCGCCAGCCCCTCCACAAAGTTTGACAGGCTGATTTTCTAATTTCTACAGACCTGAAAAGGCCAAGGAAAGGATAGTCAAGGCAATTTTGAAGACAAAAAGGTTGAGGGATTTGGTTTACTGGAGGTGGAGACTTACCTTAAAGTTACAGTAGTTGAGGCCATGGAGCATTGACCCCATTAGTCATGTAGTACTGCTTATACATTAGACAAGCACATAATTGGAACACAAGGACTGAGACCAAGACCAGTGCATCTGAGAAACTTGATGTCTACAGAGCTGCCTGGTAGAGGTGGGAGAAGGATTATTCAGTAACTGCTGCTGAGCCAACTAGTTATCCATATGTGGACACAACAATTGAGTTTTTGCCTTACGTCATATATGAAAAGCAATTTCAGTTGGTGTAAGGTACGGAGTCTATATAATGCAGTACACATAGGAATAAATTTTTATGTGCACACAGTAGTGAAGGATTTCTTAAAAGGGACACATTTTTTAAAAAATAAAGAAAAAGAAAGCATGGTCAACTTAAAAAAATGAAAATATTTTACTCCATTTTTGACAATTAAAATTAACTAATTTAAAAAACACATTGTTTTTTTGTTTGTTTGTTTGACAGAGTTAGACAGTGAGGGAGAGAGACAGAGAGAAAGGTCTTCCTTCTGTTGGTTCACTCCACAAATGGCTGCTACAGCTGGAGCTACGCCGATCCGAAGCCAGGAGCCAGGTACTTCTTCCTGGTCTCCCACGCAGGTGCAGGCACCCAACCACTTGGGCCATCCTCCACTGCCTCCCTAGGCCATAGCAGAGAGCTGGACTGGAAGAGGAGCAACTGGGACTAGAACCATGTGCCCATACGGGATACTGTCACCGCAGGCAGAGGATTAACCAAGTGAGCCACGGCGCCAGCCCCATTGTTCTTGAGAGATATCGTGGAGTGGAAAAGTCTACCATGGGCTAGGAAGAGATGTTTGATGCACAGAGAACCAACAGATTACACAGAATGCACAAATAACTTCAAATAATGAAAAAAAAATCATACTTCCAAATTAAAAATGGGTAAAGAAGTGATTAGACATTCCACAGAAGAAAAAATACAAATGACAATCAAGAATATTAAAATTTAAATGTGAATAGTGTCATTATGATTTTGTAACATCGTTCAGATGCGAGTTGAATATTAAAATCTAATGCTATCAAATACTGTGAAGAATGCGGAACTTTGAGTCCACATCTACCACTGACAGGAGAGCAAATGCTTCCCCCGGATTATCCCTGAGAAACGTTCATTCATGGATCCTGATGTTCTTAACAACACTGTTTGCAATAACACAAAACTGGTTTTAAAAATGTCACAGATGGAACCAAGTTGAGAATTCCAATCTGAATTTCTCCTATTCAAATACTGAATAAAGTATTTGACCTCGAGCTTGTTTCTATCAGTGTACATTTTGCAAAAGCAAGTTGCTCTATTTTTGTTTGGTCGACTCTTCTACTTGAGAGAAGATCTTTGTGTGTAGACAGATGGTAAACTTTCTACAATGTCAAGCTATTGGTATCAGTTCCAATTTACACATTCTAGATTTAATCACTTATCTACATTTAAATTGTCTCCTAATTATTCATGGATGTTTCTTTTTTGGCTGAAATAACCTTGCATTTTATACACATAGTTTGAGATTATCTTGAATTCTGGCTACTGATCTCCATGAAATGTGTTCATGTGTCTTTTTCCATCTTAAAATCTGTGCTGAGACTATAACGGCACTGAGCAGGATAAGAATTGAAATTATTGATCACGTATTTTATACCAGATAATACAATGATAGTTTAAAAAATTCATGGAAAATGAAATTAAAAATAATCTTTTTGGCATGTTTTCATATACACATTTTTCATCAATGTTTTGCAGACCCAGTGTAGGCATGAATTTCAGAGCTTTTTTGCAGCAAAATAAACTCATATTTTAATTTATTTTTCATTAACATTTTGAAATACCCTCATGCATTTTCTATTAATTTACAATCATTAATGAAGATTAGGATTCAATACCCTATAGCAGCTATGTTGCATCGATGAGTCTGAAATTCATTTTTTATCTTAGGTAGCAACTCCACTCTGCTATAGGACCAAGCATAAAACAGCCAATGGAGTATTAGAATAATTATTTCCATCTGCAAGTGGAGAATTAATTTTGTGGTTGAGACTTGGCATCTCTGGTTTTCAGCTGTAATTTTCCTTCAACTCTCACCTTCTCTGTATCTTCAACACTCAAAGGCACTAAGCTATCCCAACTCAATTGCCGACTTCTCTGCATCCTGATTTGTGCCCTTGTATCATGTAGACATGAGACTCCCACGAACGCATTTGACTGTGGCTCTAATAAGTCTTTTTACCTAGTCATTTTCTCCATGTGGGCTTCAGCTTTACTGCTGTTACAGACCCTGATGGGGTCTTCCTTCAGTCCAACAAGAGCCCTCAGAAGCAGGAAATGTTTGCCTGCCACCAGACACATCTCATCAACTCAGGGAGCCTCCTACATCTTTCACAGCCTGGTGAACGTTGTGATTTATCTTACCCATTCTGCTTCCGCATCGTATAACCCTGCTTGCCTATGGGGGAATCATCGTCAGTCTTTATGGATAGTTCAGTGCCCCAGATGAAACACCTTACTCCTGAGTTTTCATCTTTTCTCTGCTTCTGGTTACTTTGATTACTTTTCCATTTTATATGAACATCCATTGATATTTTAGCTCATTAGAGAACAGCTTGTACATCTGCTGAGGCTCGTCAGCTGGATTTTTTTTCCTTAGTAATATTTTATGTTAGCATAGTTTCACAATTGTATTATGAGAGCTTCCCTTTGTTCTTGGGCCACTTTCCCTGTTAAAGTCTGCCACACAACATACCTACCTTTGCCCTTTGAGGTTTAGAGAGACCTGAACTTTTCAATCCGTTTGATTCAACCAAAATTGCTGTTGATATGAAAATAAGAAATATGTTGTGCCTTGGAAGACTCAAGACCCAGTTAGGTTAGCCAATGCCTTACAATATAAATCAGTTATGAACTCTAATAGATGATCTTTGCAACTATTTGAGGGCACAGAGGAAAGGACAGAACAATCTACAGGATTTTGCAAAGGGACAGGGATTTCTCTGCACAGAAAAGTGATAAAGCATTTCTGACAAATGGCAGCCACACAGGTAAAGGTGGTGTTGTGAGACTGAGCCTGTGTCAGAGGGCAGGAGGCATTGCTAGAGCTGAGAGGGCTGGACGCTGGGGAAGCAGCTGGAAAGGACAGAGGGAGTGAGATTATGAGGAAACTTTTCCATCTCCTACGCTCGTCTCATTGGATAGCAAGAAGAATCCACAAAAATACTTCAATAGAGAAGTGCTAAATTCTGCATTCCAAAAAACATCTAAGATGTCACAACTAATTTGGGGAGCTCTAACATTTCACTATTATAGGATTGAAACCACTCATTTAGATAACAACATAAATTCATGACATGGCTGCAGGTGATGTTTCCTTACGTCGGGAATCACACTTCATATGTTGTTTATAATCACACACCTCTATGAGGGGGTCTTCAAAACACTCATGGAAAATGCAAATTATGAGAAAAACTATTTATGGAAATTAGAATATTTTTACCCAAAACAATTTTATCTCTTAATTTCCTTTTCTTCGCAGACTTTTTGAAGTCCTTGTATTTGAGTATTTTACATGTCTGTAGTCACATTTCAAGTTCAGTCCATAGTTGTAGTTCCATGATCAACAGCTAAAACTGTGTTGTAATACAAATTGGAGAATATGAGAAAGATCAAGTTGGACATTTTCTCAACTTTTTAATGTTTTTAATATATTTAAATATATTTTTTCAACATGTTTTCCTGTGTCTCAAATCCTTCATGAAGACAAATCTGTAAGTTTTGAATGCAGAGACTTTCTTATTCACCACCATATCGCCATTATAATTGTAATATTTACTGGACAGATGGAATAAATAAATAGTCTCATGCAATCACACAATATAACTGGGAGCTGGTGAGAAGTAAAATATGGAATTTTAAAAGTGATGTAAGGTTCTAACAGGTTTGCATCAGGCTGATCTGTTGTAGGTCCCTGAAGCCTGATCTTGAGATAGGCAATGCAGCCATTTTTGCATGGACTGTCAGGGACAAGTATCTCAGGCAGAGAATTTATCTAAATTTATAAACTGAAGTGCAAAGATTCAAAACACCTTTACAAAGAAATGACTTTAGCCAATTGTAATTTTTAATTTCTTTCCTTCTTGACATTTTTTTGAAAAAAAATTAAAAACATTTTAATTACTTGAGAGACAGAAGGAGAAAGGCAGACAGATCTTTCATTTATTGGTTTACTTCTCAAATGCCCACAAGGACTGGGGCTGGGCCTGGCCGAAGCCAGGAGCTGGAAACTCAAGCTGGTCTCCCACATGCGTGGCAGATACCAAGTACGTGAGCCATTAGCTCTGCCTCCCAGGATGTAAACTAGCAGGAAGTTAGAATCAGGCGTATATCCAACACTCAAACTCAGGCGATAGAATGTGGGATGCAGATGTCCCAAGCAGTGAGTCTTAAGCATTAGGCCAAAGACCCATCCCTTGAATGTTGTTTTAGGTTAGCCAATGCCTTACAATATAAATCAGTTATGAACTCTAATAGATGATCTTTGCAACTATTTGAGGGCACAGAGGAAAGAACAGAACAATCTACAGGGGTTTTTGCAAAGGGACAGATCTATCCTGTAGATCTGCCTGATACTGGATGCATAAATAGCAACAGTGATGGAGGCTATGTAAGGACAGAATAATGTGGCTGTAAATGAAACCCAGTACAGGATGGACAGTCAGGGAGTGTTTATCTGACACTGGATTTCTCCTTGTTTTATTCTCATTCATCTAGTTTTATTCATCTTAAAGCTGTCACTGTTCAATCTCCGCCTCTTCCCCTAATATACTCTATGTGAATTTAGCAACCAGTATTTTCCTTCAGTTATGCTCAGGTTTGAACGAAGGCAGTTTTTTATTATGTATGTTTTACCCTTTCATATTTCATATCTGGATCTTGCATAGGGCCCTTCACTTAATTCATCATAATTGTTAACACATTTTTGTTGTCGTTGATGACTGGTTCTGTTACAGAGCAATCCAAAAACGTGTAGGGAAGGGCAAAATCAAACCTGCACTCATTTTCCTGTTAGTGGTTACAGCATTGTGTCAAGGGACGTCTTCGCATTTCCTTCATAGACTGAGAAACCAGAGGATTGTCTCTTTAGAACACTTAGAGAATTAGAACACTTAGAGAATGCATAGACTCATCTTATATGTCATTTATTTGAAACAAACATTGAGAACCATTATAATGACATGCCCTATGTCCTACAATTCATTGTTACAAAGTCAAGACAAGGAAAACAGTGTCTTACTTTCTAATACAGTATTCTTTCTGTGATAATTTGTGAAGTTTACTGGCACATAGGGGCAACCACCTGAACAACACATATTCTCTCTGTGTAATATGCCATTGTAGGTTGGTAATTAATTGTATGACATCAAGCCTTAAAAATCATAGCTATCATTATTAGGCACTTTTCATATGCAGGGTGCTTTATGCTCACATCTGGCCTAGTGTTCATGGCAAGCTCACATGATAGATACTGTCACCCATATTTTGAAGGTAAGAACAATGAAAAGTTAATGCCTTTACATCTGACAATGCTGTGGCTAATCATAAACAGACAGACTAGCCCACATTTTATGGAGTGAAACATCCCGTGGCTCTAACAGTTAAGCTACATTTCCTGAATCAGACTTAGCTTTGAAATAAATATATACGATCTTTCCATGACTATAGTTCCTTCCAACTTCAGTAATCAATGGCTTGACTTCCTGCTGTGTCTTAAAGCAAGCACTAACTCCACTCACTCTAAACTTGAAATACTGATAACCTGATTGAGTGTTCTTATGGGGTGTGCTTATTTGTTTTCCCCATGAACTACAGCAAGTTTTTGTCCCAGAGCTTTGCATGTCGCTTTAGAAGTTGTCTTGGCGCCAATTACAGCTCTGCTTGTCTAGAGAACAGAGGCACACTGTAATGACAGTGGCCTGCCAGCTGGGCCCTGATCATTTGTCCATTAACATTTCTACCTGTTCTTAATTGAAAGGAATGCTCCACCTACAGTTTTCCTTTTATATTGTGCAGTACCGTGCTGATCAACAGTGATCTTTTCTGAAATACCAGACGTGTATAACATGTAAAGTGTTCTACCTCCTTATTATTGCAGATGGGACCGCCAGGTCTCTTTCCAGGGGAGCCAGCTACGCAGCTGATTCATCTCCCATGCCCTGGTGTGTCTGCCTTCCCTCCTTGTTCTTTTTCCATTGAACATGTTGTGCTCATTAGCATCACCACTGCACACTAAGAAAGGCCAGGATGCACGGGATGTGTTCTATTTTTTTTTTCTTTTTTTTTCCAAGTAGGGGAGTGGGCCAATGCTAAGTAAAACAAGGAGGAAGTACCTCATTTCTATGTGTCGATAATACTTCTCCTCTACACCGATTTTAGAATTTGCCATCCGAATAATTAGCTTCGTCTTCTGAGGTTATATTTTCCATAAGAAAACAGTAGATAATAGGATTATTTAGAATACTGTTAAAATATGTAGCTTTTTCCACAAGTTTCCTAGTTTTCAATTTTTCAATAGCATGAATTCATTCTGAGAATTCAGTGATTAAAAAAGTCATCATATTTTTATGGGTGATGATGCTCTTAATCCAGTATTTCTTACACCGTGGTTCCAAAACTGCCGCCAGCTTAGGGAAGATTCTGAGAAGCCTCCGGATTTCCATATTTTTACATTAAGTTTTTCTACCTCCTCTTTATATCTTCAGTATAAGTATATTCTGGATCCCGGCTTTGCAACCCTTGTTAGCTGAATACCAGCTCTACTTCTGTTCCAGTAATGGCTTCTGTGTTTAGCTTCACTCCAGGTAAAGATCAAAATGTAGATATTTGTGGCATACCGTAGGAATGAGGATTTCTCAATCATTTGAAAGGCGCAGTGCAGTAATGGGGCCGTCACACATCTCTCACTGGTGAGCCGGGCAAGCATGCACCCTGTGCTTGAGCATGAAGCAGTAGCACTTCGGGCAGGGGGACAGCAGCTGTGCCCCCTGGCTGCTTGGCCTCCAGGTGAAGATTTGCAACAGTTCTTTGTGACAAAGACTCTTCCAGCTTCAGAGAGTGGCAGTGATTACAGTGGATATTCCTCGAATACAAAATTCAGTAATGTAAATTTTATATTCAAGTAGACATAAATACAGCACTAATAAGTGATTCATAATTAAAATCAGCATTAGAGATCCTATCACAGGGTTTCATTAAAGTGAGAATTCTGATGAGCTCAAGCAATTAAGTCTGTGGTTATTAATATTTTATAAAACATGCCAATGCACGTGAACATTTCTACACTATTGTATTTAGGTCAGCATTGGAGAAAATGTGAGATAGAAATACATATTTGACTAAATCTTCCTTATTATTAAGTATATATTTTATTACCATAGTCATGTTTTATAATCTTATTTCCATAAAATAATTTAGTTGAATAGATGTTATTTATTTGAAATAAATTCATTTTTCTCATGGTTTCATTTATTTTTCTGACTTTATTTTGTTAGGTGCATGAAATTGTTGAGATGAAGGAATTTATACCAAATTGTGCAACTTACAGTCACCATGTGATCAAAAATACCAGGGAATTTTTGTTCTTTGTGAAAGGAGACTTCACATCCTAAAAGCCTAAGAACACATTGGTGTGTGCTGTGTAAATGATACCACTTGTTTGAACGTTTTCAGGGACGGGATTCACAGAAATGGAAGATACCCTAGGTATTACATAGTGTAAGTCCCTGTTTAGCAAGATGTGCACTCCAGTAGTTAGAACCATTGTTCAGATAACACAGCAAGTTCAATTGTAGCAGTAAGTATCTCTGTACTCATAACCCTAATAGACACACTGAGTTAGTGTCAGAGCCCTACCTAGAACCCACTTCTTTTGTATCTACGTCCAGCCTTTTTATTTTACCACAGTGTCTTTCTAAGTCTGCCTACCAGTGAGAGGAAGCTCAGTGATTCAGGCAGGAATCAAATAAATCATCACAACCTCTCGCAAATTCTAAATGGTTCTGATTCCATTAATATCACATAGCAGCGTTCACATAATTCATCTGGAAGTGGGTTGAGAAGCTGCTCTTTTTGTCTTCCGTATTGGGAAGAAGAAACATGGGCTACGTTATGGAAATTGGTGTTGAGCTCAGGCAGCCATGCACAATGAACCACAGTGTTTTCTTAACAAAAATTTTTTTTAACTATTTTGACAGTAGGGGTGAAGCTTTGTCATCTTCCATTTGCCTTTCTAATTGTGGTAACAAATGACAGAAACTGATGTGGAAATTTTGTAAATGATTAAAGATATCTGTGCTGTCTATATGCTCTGTTGCTGAAAAACCAATTACAAGGTGGGCTTTCCGTATCAGAGGACTCTTGACACAAATATCAAGTTGCTTTGATCATAGGTTCTTTCTAAGCTCAATTCTGACAGACACCCAGGCCTTGGGGAGAACAACAGAAAAACAGTTCAGGTTTGAGCAGCAAAACTCCGAAGCATCTATCTGATTTGGAAATTATAATGGGGCCTGGCTACCCTAGAGCACACTGGCAGGACTTTTCAATAGCACTTGTCACTCCCCCTCTTCATGGAGGAACGACACTAAACCCTGCCTAGGCTTCATATCCGAATCACGGCACCATTATGTCGCTCCCCCTCTTCGCGGAGGAACGACACAGGACCCTGCGTTGTTCTTTCGTCTGCTCGGCCCTGCCCGGGTTTGCTGCTGGTTCTTCCCAGGTTGGCTACCATCCCTCCCACCTCCGTGGAAGGGCAGTTCCCCCTGCCACTTTCCCCACTTCCGCGGGGGAGCGGCACACCGCCGGCCGGCTCTCTCGGGGGCTGCACAGGTGTTCCTTCAGATAGATGTTCTTGGTGCATGTTGTCTCTCTCCTCCTTTAAAGTCCTCTTCCACCAATCCCAACTCTGCTACCCACAACGCCAAGCACGCTGCTCTCCTCCAATCAGGAGCAGGTCCTGCTGTTTATTGGTTGAACTGGAGGCAGCTGTGTAGAAGCTGTTTCCTCCTCTCCCAGCGCCATATTGTGGGAGAGCAGATGCATAGAATAAGTCTTAATTCCAGTAACTTAGTCTAGTCCGAGTTGCTCCAGTTGCTCCCCACAGCACTGGTACAAAAAATAAGAAACAAATTTTGATGTATTGCAGGCATGAGAGTCATTGATGCCAATACAAAGTGTTTGCAGGTCTAAATCTGCACCTAATATCTAGAATGTTGACAGGTTGGATACACACACACACACACACACACACATATATATGGAAAAAAAAACAATAACAAAAACTGATAAACATGTACATATCCTTAGAATCATTGATAAACATACTAATGAAAAATAAAACAAGAATATTTCTTTTAAAATTTTGAGTGACAGAATTATTAAGTTGGATATTGTGAGGTTTAGTGTGGGTGTGTATAAAACTTTGTGCCTTGCTACAGGGAGTACAGACTCAGTGCAGCCATCTGAAAGAGCAATCGGTCATTACTGAGCCGAATTATGCACACAGAGCAGCAGTTCCATTCTTAGTTATATCCTCCAGAGATGTTTTCACATAGGTCCCAAAGGGAGCATGTTCGAGAATATTCGCTGTAGCGATATTTATGTTGCAGTAAGGTGATTTCAAGTTGGCTGTCCATCCAGGTGAGACAGGCCCGTTAGAGCTGGCAAATGCACACTGAGGAGCACCATGCAGCATTTGGAGCCAGAGGTAGAAACACACATAGCAGCAGGCATGAATCTGAAGGCATTTCCTGGGTGAAGAAGGAAACATGATAATGTGTTTAACACAATAGCATTACAGGGACTCAAAATGCATGTACCTTGAGCTAAAAAATTGACACTTTAAAAAAGAATATACTAAACAGAGTAGTTGCTCATGGAGTCAGGGAAGATAGAGTATAATGCAAAAATTAAAATATATAAAATAAAAATAAAGACAGACATGGATTCTGCTTCAGCTCAAAACAGTTACTTGAGAGTTTAAGTCCTTTATGTGGCACTTTTCTTCTCTCCAAACCCTTTCCCTCCTCTCATCTGCTCTCAGCCCCTCTCTCCTTTCTCCACTCCTCTCCTCCCCCGCGTTCCTCTACCTCCTGCTCCTCTCCCTATCCCTCTTGCTCGTCCCCTTTCCTTTTTAAACATGACAGCTCTTCAGATGACTACAAAGTGCAGCAAGGACTACAGTTGAATATGATTTAGCAGCGGTGGGGGCAGGGTCTCCAGTGCCCCCTAGATATCTTCCAATTCCCAAGTGAAAGAGGCTAACTGCTAAGGACAGGAGTTGTCTTCAGCCCTGGGTTTCTGAGAACAGAGCCCCATCCGACTGTGTGCAGGGGTAAGATAGTGCCTGTGGCTCAAAGAAAGGAATGCAGGTCAGTCCAAATTCCAGACTGGCTCTTCAGTGCCCTGTACTAAATACTGCACATGTTTGGAAGCTCCTGACTCGTGGCAGTTAGTTAAGGCAAGATAGTAAAAACAGTACTCAATTATTTCTTAGGATGAAATAAATTGAATACTGAACTTATAGAGGTCAATTGTCAATAAAATAATTAATCTTTAATTGTGAAATCCATGCATATGACAGGTCATCAAAAAGCTTACAGAAAAAGTATATTAGGAACAAACTATGCATGGTTTTTTATTTATAAAGATTTATTTATTTTTTAGAAAGCTTTAATTTAATAAATACAAATTTCATAGGTACAGCTTTAGGAATATAGTGGATCTTCCCCCCATACCCACTCTCCCACCCCCACTCCCATTCCACATCCTACTCCCTCTCCCATCCCATTGTTCATTAAAATTCATTTTTAATTATATACAGAAGAGCAACTCTATGCTAAGTAAAGATTTCAACAGTTTGCACTCACACAGACACACAAAGTGTAAAGTACTGTTTGAAGACAAGTTTTACTGTTAATTCTCATAGTACAACTCCTTAAGGACAGAGGTCCTACATGGGGAGTAAGTGCACAGTAACTCCTGTTGTTGATTTAACAATTGACACTCTTATTTATGACATCAGTAATCACCCTAGGCTCTTGTCATGAGCTGCCAAGGCTATGGAAGCCTTTTGAGTCGACAAACTCCATCAGTATTTAGTCAGGGCCATAAGCAAAGTGGAAGTTCTCTCCACCCTTCAGAGAAAGGTACCTCCTTCTTTGAAGGCCCCTTCTTTCCACTGGGATCTCACAGAGATCCTTCATGTAGATCATTTTTTGCCAGAGTGTCTTGGCTTTCCATGCCTGAAATGCTTTTAAGGGCTTTTCAGCCAGATACAAATGCCTTTAGGGCTGATTCTGAGGCCAGAGTGCTGTTTAGGGCATTTGTCATTCTGAGTCTGCTGTGTGGCCTGCTTCCCATGTTGGATCATTCTCTCCTTTTTAATTCTATCTATTGTTATTACCAGACAATTGGCCTTATATCTATATGATCCCTTTGACATTTATACCTATCTATGTGATCAGTTATGCACTAAAAATGATCACTTTAACTAGTAAGATGACATTAGTACCTGACAACTTAATGGGATTTGGAGTACCATGGCACATTTTTAGCTTTTCCCTTAGGGGTAAGTCCATGGCAATGTGTGCCGAACTGTACATCTCCTCACTCTCTTATTCCCACTCTTCTTTTTTACTGTGATCTATTTTCAATTGAATTTAAACACCAATGAATAATTCTGTGTTAAGGA